AAATCAGTTGGTGCAGCACCAAGTCAGCAACATTAGAAACCTTTTTCATCTTGTAGGCTCCAGTTAATCACTCAATAAACTCATGTGTCTCCCTTTTATGACTTAATTCTGTGTTGGTACTCTTGATTCCCCCAAGTTCTTTCTTGCTCTTTCCCCATAGTAGAGTTATCCACTATGTATGTAGATATGTATAACTTAACACTGTCTTAGATATTTTTTGATATTAGTATGTAAAATTCATTTTTTTAAAAAATTTTTTTAATAGAGGAATGTTATTTATTTATTTATTTGTTTGTTTGTTTGTTTATACAAGCACTGGGTACAGTCAGAAGCGCGGGAGGGTGAGAGAATTCACCAGAGCCAGAGCAGGGAGCAGAGCAGGCAGAAGGACCGAAGTACACTGCTGAGGGGAGCAGCGGGCGGCAGGAGAGGTCTGCGCGCCATGTGGGACCCTCCTCTGGTGGCTGGGGAGCAGCCGGGGATCGAACCGGCGCTGCAGAGGCCGTGGGCAGCTTCGCAACCCAGCGCTCAACCGCTGCGCCACCGGGGAGGCCCCGTAAAATTCATTTTTAATAAATGTATTGATTTGTTTGCATGCGCCAATATTTCATTATTTCTTGATGTTATCTTGAATTTTTTTTTAATAGAGGCATGTTTTATTTATTTATTTGTTTGTTTGTTTTGTTTATACATGCACTGGGTACAGTCAGAAGCGCGGGAGGGTGAGAGAATTCACCAGAGCCAGAGCCGGGAGCAGAGCAGGCAGAAGGACCGAAGTACATTGCTGAGGGGAGCAGCGGGCGGCAGGAGAGGTCTGCGCGCCATGTGGGACCCTCCTCCGGAGGCCGGGGAGCAGCTGGGGATTGAACCAGCGCCACAGAGGCCGCGGGCAGCTTCGCAACCCAGCCCTCAACCGCTGCGCCACCGGGGAGGCCCTATCTTGAATTTTTTTAAAGATTTATTTATTTTATCCATACAAGAACTGGGGTACAGGCCAGAGGTGTGTGTGTGGGGGAGAGGATTCACCAGAGACAGAGTAGGGAACAGAACAGTCAGGTCTACTGAAATACACTGCTGAGGGGAGCAGTGGACAAGCCAGGAGAGGTCTGCTGCACCATGTGGGTCACCTCTTAAGTGATTTCTGTGTGCATTTATTTATGTGACTATATTAGTAGCATAAATTCCTAGAAGTGAAATTTTCTTTTGTGCGTTTACATTTTTGATTGGTAATTATCAAATTATATTTCTTATTTTTTTTTTTTGCTGATTTTTTTTTTAAATAATAAATTTTATTTTTATATTCCCCATACAATTGCAATCCCCCCATTCTGACCCCAATCCCTCCCCTCCCGCCCCCCACCCCCCAAAAGGTGTCTCTGTTTCATAGTTTTCTGTTGATTTTGATTTTCACTTTCTTATAGTTATTCATTTTCCTGGTCCCTTATTTAAGTTTTCTAGATTCCTGCTATGAGTGAGACCATCCGGTATTTTTCTTTTTCTTTTTGGCTTATTTTGCTGAGCATGATCCCTTCCAGCGCCATCCATGTTGCTGCAAATTGCATGTGTTTATCTTTTTTGAATGCTGAGTAATATTCCATGGTATATATCTACCACATCTTCTTGATCCAGTCATCTATTTTTGGGCATTTGGGCTGTTTCCAAAGCTTAGCTATTGTAAATAGTGCTGCTATAAACATAGGGGTGCAGGTGTTCTTTGGAATTGATGTTTCTGTGTCCTTTGGGTAAATACCTAGGAGTGGAATTGCTGGATCATATGGAAGCTCTGTGTTCAGTGGTTAAAATACAAATTAGAGCAATCTCTTAGAAATATAATTTGATAGAACCACTATGGAGAGCTGTGTGGAGATTTCTGGACCTATCAAATTATATTTCTAAGAGATTGCTCTAATTTGTATTTTAACCACTGATGTCTGAAGATATCTAAAAGTCATTATCTAACCCAGTTTCTTGCCAATAGTGTTTTCATTTTGATCAAACAGGTAGAAAATGATAGCTTTTTATTGTTTGGTATTTGTGTTTTTTTTGACCTTCCATTTGTAGTACTTGTCTGTTTTCCTATAGGTATTGATTTGTGAGAATTCTAGAAATAGAAAGTGTGATGGTGTGAAATACTTGAATGCAATACATTGAAAATCAGCAAGAATAACTAATCTGTAAGGGAGTTTGTCTTTCATAATCTGGAATTTGAAGTTGCAGTTTTTGAGGGCAGTGTTTTTTTTTTTTTTTTTTTATATGTTTTTCTTTCAGGTAAACTGGGTAAGGTTAACACAAGAAGCCAAGTTGAGTAAATAATTAAAAGCTCAGGTCGAGGCCAGAAACCATTGATTTAGCAGATACTGAGCCAATTGTGACTCAGTTTCTGGGTTTGATTCCATAGATTGGTAGATGAAACTGACCATTGTTCTTGATGAAATTTAGTTTAGTTGAAAAACAAATATACTTGGGATAAGTGCTCTATAGGAAAAGTATGAGGTGCTATGAAAGAACACCCAAGAATGGGTGGTCAGAAAAAAACTATAGGATCACATTTGACTGAGGTGTAAAGGATGGTAGGAGTTGGGGAAGTTGGAGAAGTAATAGTGTTGGGCATTGAGAGAGAGTTATGTATAGGGTGGGGACAGACTTTTTGGCCTTTGGTTCATATTAAGGATTTAAAATGTTATATGGGGAATGGTGGAAAATCTCAAAGGTTTTAAGAAAGAAATAACAGGATCAATTCCTGTTGGATAACTTAAAATGTGAAAAAGAACTCTCCAAGGGGATGGGCTATCAAAAGTCTGAGGCATACTGGTAGTGCTACAGTACAACACCAGCTCTATCCATTTTTCACCTACCTCAGCTATTAAGAAGCAGCTATCTGTGTCTGACTGAACTCTTTCTATTTGAGATAGATAGAATCCATTCTAGAATCATCTGTTAATAATGCACTTTTTTTTTTTAAGCTTGGTGCTTTTTTTTTTTTTTTTTTTTTTTTTAAGATTTATTTATTTATATAAGCACCGGGTACAGTCAGAAGCATGGGAGGGTGAGAGAATTCACCAGAGCCAGAGCTGGGAGCAGAACAGGCAGAAGGAGCGAAGTGCACTGCTGAGGGGAGCAGCGGGTAGTAGGAGAGGTCTGCGCGCCATGTGGGACCTTCGCCTGGTGGCCAGGGATCGAACCAGTGCTGCCGAGGCTGTAGGCAGCGTCGCGACCCAGCGCTCAACCGCTGCGCCACCGGGGAGGCCCGATAATGCACTTTTTATGGAATGAATATATTACTAAGAACAGTTTCTGCCTTAAAAACCACCAAATCATCCATATAAAAAAATGTAGTCTGTAGCAATTCACTTTACCAGGGAAATAAAATGAGACCATCTAATGTTGCTAATAAATCTTTAATAGATTTTTGTTTCAAAATAATGAATTTTCCTGATTTTCTTCTCTAAGACCATCAGTAATACCATTGGGGTGTGTGTGTGTGTGTGTGTTTGATATTTATGTTAATTATTTGCTTCTCTTCATGTAGAAGATTTCCTTGGAAAGAGGGTTTGTATGTTTGTAGGTAACACAATAAAAATGATTTTTTAAAAGATTTATTTATTTATACAAGAACTGGGGTACAGGCCAGATGTGTGGGAGGCTGAGAGAATTCACCAGAGACAGAGGGGGGAACAGAACAGGCAGACGTACTGAAGACACTGCTGAGGGATGCGGTGGGCGAGGCAGGAGAGGTCTGCTGTGCCAGGTGGGTTTCTCCCTGGCTGGCCGGGAATCAAACCCGCGCTGCAGAGGCTGTGGAGAGCTTCATAGTGCTGCGCTCAACCCTCTGCCACCGGGGAGGCCCAACACAATAAAAATTGAATATATGTCCCCACTGTGGCTTTGAATTTCAATTTTCATAAAAACATCAGTGATTAGATTGTGATATTCTGCATTTTAATACAATGAGTAGGCATAAAGTACAAAGTACAAAAATAAGTAATGATCCTACCTATCACTTTCTGATTATAAGTGAATAAAGTTAGATTATGAACTGAAGACTAGTGAGATTTGATGGCATTTCTGTAGTCATTTTATTGGTAAGGTTTCTTTCATATTGTTTATCTAATAGCTTAAATTTTTTTTTTTTTGGTAGCCTGGTAACTTGATCTTTCAATCTATTTTATATTTTTTACTTTTTTGTTTTAAAATAACTTAGTGACTGATTTCCCTTTTTTTTTTTTAAATCAGCTTGGGCACTAAAGTTAAAACAATCATAAATTCAGTTTAAAATATAAGGTACCATCTTAATAACATGACCAATCACCAAATTGTTTTAATAAAATTTAGCATAGGCTAGAGTCATTGAAATGCGTTTTTACTCAGGCATGAGGATTTTAATGTATAAAGCCAGTAGATTGGAATGGTGATAAAATTAGGAATCAAGAGTAAATAATTAAGCTGCAAGGACACAGGACAATTTATCATTGACTTGAGTTATCCTTTTTTCTCGTACGATTAATTTTCAGAAAACAGAGTTCCTATCTTGGTGAGTTAAGGAATAGGGACTTGATAAGCAGAATGAGAAGCTAGGGTTGAACATGATATATAAAGGTTAGTAGGTTTATTGTATTTTTTTTAAGATATATTTATTTATGCATACAAGAATGGGGTACAAGCATACAAGAGGTGTGTATGGGGGTAGTGGTGGTTAGAGGATTCACCAGAGACAGAGTGGGGAACAGAACAGGCAGATTGACTGAAATACACTGCTGAGGGCAGCAGCAGGTGAGCCAGGAGAGGTCTGCTGCACCATGTGGGCATCTCCCTGGCCAGGGATCAAACCCATGCCACAGTGGCTTTGGATAGCTCCATAGGTTGCATCCCAACCCCCTGCGCCACCAGGGAGGCACCTATTGTAACTTTTAAACTGCTTAATTTTCGGGTATTAAGAACATTTGTCCAAGTTAAATGAGGATATTTTAAGTAGGTTTAAATTTTTTTTTTTTATTTTTCAGCCAAACCAAACAGGAAGCTTACTTTTCTCTACCTAGCCAATGATGTCATTCAGAACAGCAAAAGGAAGGGACCAGAGTTTACAAAAGATTTTGCACCAGTTATAGTGGAGGCTTTTAAGCATGTTTCAAGGTATGGTCATGGTTTTGGGTTCTAGGTTATCTGTCTTAAATCCATAATATGTCATTTTGCGAAAATCTGCCTTAAACCTTAAAATAAATAGGGAATATCTTACTTTGAAGTTTTCATTTGAAAAGACCTATAAATGGCATTTGTAAATGTATCAAATGCTTACTGTGAAGGAAAAAATTTTTGAATGTTACAAATGTGGAATTTGGAGTAGTTGAATTACTGCTTCCCTTTAAGAGACCAAAAGCAATTGCCATATTGAATTAAACTTCATTAAGAATGAATGAAGACACTGAATTAAAAATTTCTGTGTTTATAAAGCTGTCAGTTTTCTGATTACTATTTCTGGATAAACTCACACTCTTTCTTCTCATACTGCCTATAATGGTTTTAAGGTTTTCCAGTGTGTGGGTATGTGTTATAACACTTCGAAATGTTTTGGAAATACAGAATGTTTCATTAGAGTAATGATAAAACTTAAATTTTTGCTGCAGAAAAATTCTGAGGGTACTTGTTCTTTTTAAAGGCTATTTCCCAAAGGTTTTATGAAAATATTTGGTAGATTGTTGGGCAGACTAGTGAAACTACTGTATGCAATTATTTGGTAGATTACTGGGTTTAGATTACAGTCTAAATTATAGAATTCAGTGGTGAATAATGATCTCTGTTGACTAATTCAGGATGAAAATATACTCACCACATGTCCTGCAGTTTTAGTCACAGTAGATGCATTTAGAAAAAAAATAGAGTGTGAAATACAGCTGTATGTTGTTTTCTTAAATAAAGATTATCCTTCAATTTAGATTCTCTCTTCTGTCTTTTCAGATTTTTTTTAGAGTTCACTTTCCATTGCCTTTTGGGTGATTTCATACACTGTGTATGTTTTGTTAATATCTATACCCCCATGCTGCAGTCAGATGTTTTTTCTTTGTTTCATAACTGTATGTCCAGTTGCCTGTTAAATCCTTTTTTTATGCCTTCAGGCACCTCAAACTCAGTGTGTCTGATGGTGAACTCATTATGCCCTTGCTCCTTGTCAAATTTGATTCTCTTCCAGGTCTTACTCTCTGGATGAATGTCATCTTCATCTATCCAGATGTCCACACAAGAAATTAAGTGTCATCTCTAACTTTCCTCTCTCTTTCATCCCCATATTCATGTAGGGTAGTACCTGTGGTTTCCTCAGTTCTTTAGAAATCTTTCCACTCCAGTTAGGATATCATTTCTCCTGAAGATTAAGTGTAAAGTCTTGAGCAAGACTTAAGATTTTTCTTTATGGGCCTGTCTCCCTTTTCAGATTCCTGTCTCTCATTTCTTCCATGCATATACATGATAATCTGTATTTTAGGCTAATCAACTTCTTTTAATTCTGTCTGTCTTAAGGCTTTTTATACATGTTGCCTCTCTCTAGAATTAATTTATTTATTTTTAAAGATTTATTTATGTATGCATACAATAGCTGGGGTACAGGCCAGAGATGGGGGGGGGTGAGAGGATTCACCAGAGACAGAGTGGGGAACAGAACAAGCAGACTGACTGAAATACACTGCTAAGGGAAGCAGCGGGCGAGACAGAGAGGTCTGCTTCGCCATGTGGATTACACCCTGGCCAGCTGGGGATTGAACTCATGCTGCAGAGGCTTCGGATTGCTTCATAGTGTGGTACTTAACCCCCTGAGCCACCAGGGAGGCCCTCTCCCTAGAATTCAAAAAAAAAAAAACCACAACATTTATTAACTGCATACTATATGCTAGGCCCTGTGAAGAAGTAATAGTGAGGAAGACAAAGTTCCGTTCTAGAACAGCTTATATTTCAGTGGATGATACCAGTAATAACTAGTTAGAAAAGTGAATATATATTTTAATTTCAGAAGTACTATGAAAAAGCATAAAGCAGGGAAGGTACTAGAGAATATGATGGTGCTCAATTATATAATCTAGCAAGGTGACTATTTTTGGGAGGCAGCATTTGAACAGACTAAAAAAGAAAGGGCAAAAAGAATCTGATTCTCTGGGAGGAAAGGAGTCTAAGTAGAGAGATTATTTGGCAATAACAATGAGACAGCTGTGTGCTGGACATGTTTGAGGATCAGTAAGAAGATTTTTTTATGGGATAAGATATTAGGGGGATATGCATTGAGAGTTAGCCCAGAAACAGAACATGTCCACTTTGTAACCCAGGATAAGGATTTTGGTTTTAATTCTTGTTATGATGAGTAGCTCTCAGAAGATGAATGCAATGTGGTGTGATTGACATTAGTAGGATACTTAGTGGAGAATAGAGTGAAATAGTAGATAGAGCTTGGGAGGCCAATGACAAGACTTAAAGAAAAAAACATCAGCAATTGTGTTAATGAAGGAGATAGGAAGTGGTTGGGAGTTGTCTTGTTTTCTCCTTCTTTCTACATATAATCATCTGATGGCAGATTAAAATCACTCCCTCAATATCCTTCTAACGCTTCTTCAAATGGGCCAGACCTTTCTTTTATTCCTGTCTTCAAACTTTGTTTTCTTTTGTATCATTTATAAATAATAGCTACCATAAAGCTCCATTTGTGTCTCCAGTGTCAAATAAAGTGCTTTGATCAATAAATATTTGTTAAATAAATTAAAAATCACCCATTAGAAATCTTCCTTAGCCTCATGTTCAGTCCTTGTTAGGCTAGAAGCATCTTGTTTGTAAACCCTTAACTAGCCGCTGTTAACACTTTCACAGGTTTTTGTATTTTTTTTTGTTTGAATAGCTTAGCTATTTGAGGAAAGCAAAGAGTATGTCTGTCTTGGTCACTTCACCCTTTAACTGCTGGTCACATAGTGGTGCTAAATATATGTTTGGACAGTTCACCCCCTATTCTCCCTCCCCCCAGGTAATAAATATCTGATTATATTAAAAGTCATTATTACCATTTTAATAGTACTATGCATTTTTACTGTTGATATTTTTTCTTTAGTGAAACTGATGAAAGTTGTAAGAAGCACCTTGGACGAGTGTTATCTATTTGGGAAGAAAGGTCTGTTTATGAAAATGATGTATTAGAACAACTTAAGCAAGCTCTGTGTAAGTATATAATCTTTTTTCATGATCTCATCATTAAAATGTATTCTTTCATTAATACTCAAATGTCTTTTCAATTCAGATGGTGACAGGAAGCCTAGGAAGAGAACTTATGAACAGATAAAGGTGGATGAAAATGAAAACTGTTCCTCTCTGGGATCTCCAAGTGAACCACCACAGGTAGAAATATTTTTCTGTTAAGAGAATCTTGTTAGTATTACTTATGTGGTCACCACGCTTTACTTCAGTGTTTTAACTACTGTAAATTGGATATAAGAAAGAAGCTACATAAGCGTATCTTATTTTATGGTTACTAAATTGCTTATGTTTAATGAATTATGTTATATACCATATGTTAGGAAATCATATTTTGAATAGAAAGAGGATTTCTGATTGCTGAGTATGATTAGATATGGTGAGATAGCTACCACTTAAAGTTTTCTTGTTAAAAAAAAAATTAAATAAGACTTCTGTTGTACAGAACAGCTGTATCTCTATTCCTAGAGATAAGCACTGCCTTTTAATGCACCTTGCTTTTTAAAACAGATTTGTATTTGTACAGTTCTGTGTAGTTATATTAGAACCATGTAATTCCATGATAGATGGATTAGAATCATTTTAACACCCATGCCCTCCCTGATTGGTATAGTGTAAACATTACTTAACCATCAGATGAATTCTAGAAAGACAATTTTAACTTTTAATTACATGGACATTGAGTCTTAAAAATTCCTCCTTCTATGTTTCAAACATATAGGAGGGACAGATAAAATTAAAAAGGAGAAAATGAAGACATAGCCATACTCATAAAACAAGGTAAATATCTTTGTGGGCTAGAAAATGGTATAGAAGCACAACTCAGTGTGTGATCCAGAGCCTGGTTCCTGCTGAGCTTTGGTCCAGAAGTAGACATGGGTTGCTAGAAATTAGTATCCTGTAAGGCAATAAGAACTCAGAGCACTCCAAGGGAGATGGAGACTGGGCTCAAACTTACTGCATGAGACCAGAGGTTGGGTGGAGCTCTTTTCTCCATGACTAGAGCTTGAAAGAAAGAGACAACTAATTCCTGCTTAGAACTGTGGATTTACATCAGTCTTAATACTAGGGAGGCAGAAGGAATTTTACTAGGACATTCAACTAGGTCCTGAGGCTAAGTTGCAGGAATGCTGAAGCTCACATGATCACCATAGACAAGAATCCATGAATAGAAGAGTAATAAGAACATAACATTTAGAATAACCAGACACTATATGGTAATAAGTTAGAGCAGAGAATCATCACTTGTGTTATGAGCCCCATTATGATTTCATGAACAGGGTTTTTCACCTGAATTCTAGATAGAGGCTCTGATCTTCTTCCACTCTTAAATGAAAGAGTAATTTTTGGTTGTTTTTCTTAGGTGTATCATTGAGTAAGATTATTCTTTAGTAGTTGGTTAAAATACTGCTGCTCTTCATTTTATGACCGTTTTCAGATTAGTTGTGCTTTAAATTTCAATGGTTCAACCTTGTAGTCAACATTTTGTTTAAATCTTTGTAAGAAAAGTTAAGTTCTCTTTGCAGGATTGAACTCATTTTATCCTTTATTAGGAAGTCCTTATAGACAAAGACAACTTTGTTTTCTTATCTGATTCTTGACCCCAACCTTGAGAGCTTAGAATTAACTCATGTAGAAATGTGAATGTTGGGCTTCCCTGGTGGTGCAAGGGGTTAAACACAGCACTGTGAAGCTATCCTCAGTCTCTATAGCACGAGTTCAATCCCCGGTTGGCCAGGAAGCTACCAACATGGTGCAGCAGACCTCTCCTGTCTTGCCCGCTGCTCCCCTCAGCAGTATATTTCACTCAGTCTGCCTGTTCTGTTCCCCACTCTTGTCTTTGGTGAATCCTTTCTCCCTTCCCCCCTCCCCACCGCACCTCTAGCCTGTACCCCAGTTCCTATGTGCATAAATAAATAAATCTTTTTAAAAAAGAAATGTGAAAGGTATAATGAGATTAGGTTGTAGTTAAAGCATACACATATTGTTAGGACCTTAAAGCCAGATTTCTTACTCCAGAAAATTTTAGTATTTCACAACTCACTAAAAAATATTATGTCAGTTAATTAGGGTACCAGAAGAAACAAACTGCCTGGTAATTGTCATTGCATTTAAGCTCACTTTCCTTGTAGAGGATTTATTTATTTATGCATAAAAGAGCTAGAGTACAGGCCAGAGGTGTGTGTGTGTGTAGAGGGGGGTGTGTGTGAGAGGATTCACCAGAGACAGAGTGGGGAGCAGAACAGGCAGGCCAACTGAAATACACTGTTGAGGGGAGCAGCAGGTGAGCCAAGAGAGGTCTGTTGTGCCATGTGGGTCATCTCCCTGGCTGGGGATCGAACTCGTATTACAGTGACTGCAGATAGCTTCATAGTGCTGAAGCCTAACCCTTTGCGCCACCAGGGAGACCCCTAGAGGGGATATATCTTACAGTAGAATTATTTTTTAAAATATTGGGGTTTTAAGTATATATAATGAATTGAAAGCACACTTAGGGTAGGTTATTTCTTATTAGGTTCAGTCAGTCTTAAAATGTTTGATCAATTGCTCAGTGCTAGACCCCAGTGATAGCATTTTTTGTAAAGGGCTAGCTTACATTGGCTGCCAGTGTCATCCTAATACATGTACAGAATTAGTAATGTACTACAAATTTCAAGCATTTGTAATTTCTGAGTGTCCCAGAATGTGTTCTTACAGATTAAAAACAGAGAGAAAGAGAGAGAAAAAGGTGGAATGAGAATGGATACTGGTAAAAAGAAAATTTGCTCCTTTTTCTTTGGAAGTTTATAAACATTATGAATTATGAAATCACCAGCACAGAATGTTCTTCCCTCCTAATTATAGCTGGTATGAAAATAGTACACCAAAAATATTCTAATGACAAAATAATTTTTATAGTAAGCTGTATATCAATATTAGTCATCATGTAAATTTGTAATATTTTAATTATTTTATGAATTAACTAGAATAGTTGAAAGTGTCATATTTAAACATATTCCCAAACTCCATTTCTTTTGTGCTTTAATTACATCATTTAGAAGTGGATTCTAGGAAGGTTCTCTGTTGTGGTAGAAGTTGTTATTCCTCTTTGTCTTTCATCCAGTTTACTATTTAAAAAAAAATATTTTCATATGCAGTGATAACAGGACAACTAGATCACACATAAAACTTGTATTCTCCAGATTGAAGTTACAACCTGCTTTCCCTTTTACCACTGAATGTGTTTGTCATCTAATTCAGTCATTTAATAGTCAGATCATCCATTGGCTAGAAGAGTGAACTTCTTAAGCTAGGATCATGGCTTGATTATTTCCAAAACCTAACACAATGTAGCTTCTTTTCCTTAATGTACAAAAGACATGGACTATCTTTAAAAACAGCTTACTGTAAAACTTGGAACTAGTAAATAAAGAGTAAGGCTTAGGGACTAAACTTCAGTCTTTTGTGTTTGTTTAAGCTTCATTTATTTTGTTTCTGAAGTTGTACAACTTTTTTAGACTCTAGATCTCGTTAGAGCATTACAAGATCTAGAAAATGCAGCTTCAGGTGATGCAGCAGTTCACCAGAGGATAGCTTCTTTGCCTGTTGAAGTCCAAGAGGTATCCCTACTAGATAAAATAACAGGTAAGAAAAGAGCGTGGGACCTGGAAATTTAGAGCTGGGATGAGGCACTAGCATATGTCATTGTTTTTATTTTGTAATAATTTCATTTTTCTGTGCTTTTCATAGATAAAGAATCTGGAGAAAGACTTTCTAAAATGGTAGAGGATGCGTGTATGTTGCTGGCAGATTACAATGGCAGATTGGCGGCTGAAATAGATGATAGGAAACAACTCACTCGAATGTTAGCAGATTTTCTTCGTTGTCAAAAGGAAGCCCTTGCAGAGAAAGAGCATAAATTGGAAGTGCGTAACCTTTTCCTTTTATAGTGCTTATTTATTTAATTTATATTTTGGTAGTTTTTAAATATCTCACTGTTTCTGCACATTTTGCATTTTTTTGACATAGACCTTTTTAAAGTGGCCCAGGTAAGCATATCCTTGCATTAACAGGTTTGTATCCTATCAGTGTAAACCCTTATATTCTAGAACAAAAATTATAGGAAAATAGCAGTTGGTATAAAATCTGGTGTCAACTATAGTAAATTATGGTTGTGTTTATTTAACTTCTCCTGTGAATACATACAGTCTTTTTGGCTACAGAATTTATTGTGGATATTCTGGTTTCCACTCTCACTGGCCCCAGAAGCTCATCAGTTTTGCTCCGGAAGGTAGTCTTCAACTTACTCCTTTGTTAAACCTGGTCTGATACTTAAGACTGAGATTCCCCCCCCCCGCCCATGCCACACAAGTGTACACCCCTAAGTAGAAAGTCATTGCTTCTCTACACATTGGGTGATAATTGATACTGTTGGTGAGCTATCTGGAAGTGTGTAGGTAAAAAAAAAAACAAAACAAAACACTCTCATATTGCTTTGAGCAGAGAAGCTGCTCTTAGGGGTGGAGAAACCAGATTTGGTTTCATTTAAATGACTAATTTGATGAGTTCTTTCTTAAATTGTTTACTGCCAGGGCGATTTCTTTTTCTAATCTGTAGGAGATTTTCTAATTTGTCTGGATGCCTATATTTAGAGGCAGTTCTGTAAATTTTTAGGTATGCTGTAGTATACCTATATTAAGTTGCTTTTACTAATGTTTAGTTATTGTTTCAACAGTGTCTGAGTGGGCCAAACACAGTTGCTGTTTCAACCTGTCAAAACAGTAACTTGATTAAATACCAGAAGCAGAGCTCTCCAACCTTAAATGCTTTTATGTTAGCTTTGCCCCTTTTCAGTTTGACCCTCCTCTCTGCACAGATACATACTCAGAGCATAGTCATTGGCGCCATGCTCTGCCTTTAGAGAGGTTGTCCATGTCTATGTAGAAAGAAAAGGTGGAATTTTTTGAAAAGATACATTTCATAGTTAATATGTCAGTTTTTGATCCTGTGATGGAATTTCAGTATTAAACTTTGTTTATTAGCAGAATTAAGGGTAAGTAATGTCATACAATATATGTCTTCAGTCTTTTGGTTTCTTTAACTTGTATTGAGCTTCTGTTGCAGATATTGGACATGCCGTATCTTCTAACGATGTCATCATCATTAGCATATTCTTCCTGCTAAAAATAAATATCAAACTCCAAAGCCTGTATTGTCTCATGTTTTTGAAAATCAAAAGAAAACTGAAACTTTGTTATTCTACTTTATACTGCTCTCTCACTCTAATTGGCCTTTTGTCACTGGTTATAAAACAATTTATATTTTGAAATATGTGTTTGGAAAATAGATGAGATACCTCCCCAACCTCTCGTTCCCCTGTACCTTCCAATCAGATTTCACAGTTGATAGTGTTAAGTGGTGCCTGATGATAACATTTGACCATGTGTCAGAAGTTAAGTGCTATTTAAGCATTTAACACATCAACTGATTAAATCCTATATTGCAGGAAATATTAATTGCCCCATTTTACAGATAGGGAGACTGATATACAGGAGATTAGGTAACTTGCCCAAGGACATACAGGGCTAGTGTATTGTTCAGAACTCGGAATCTGCCTCCAAAATGCCATAGTTACTCTTTGAATATAAGATTAAGGCAAAAACTAAAGTTATCTCTCCAACTCTTTCTGCTTCCTCCTTTCTTAGAAGTAATCACTGTCTTGAAATAAAGTGTTATAGGAACTTATATTGATGTGAATTTTATCATAGAGAAACCACCTAAATTATATTAAACATTTTTAATAAGTAAAGATGTATTCAGATTTCTAGTAAACAAGGAAGTTAATTCACAGAGCTCTTTGTAAAAATTATTATTTAGAAGTACACGATTCCTTTGTCAGAAGACATGAAAATGATTTGAGATTTGACATTGTTGTACCAAGTAGGTGGTAATCACTTTGAAGTTGAGACTAAAAGGTCAAGATTTATGGTTATCTTTCTAGTTAGTTGATTGATAGTACTTAATGAGTCAAATAGTTTTCAGTTATTGTGTATCTTAGACTATCAACTGTGAGTGACCAGATATTGATGTCACTAATGGCTCTTTTTGCTTTTGTTTTTGAAAATGGGACATAAAGTATCAGTTAACTTAAGAATTGTGACTATTTCATGTTTCTTAAGGAGGCCTCTGTTAAAGCATTTGCAGTAAATGAAAATGTGAAGTGCTTTAAAAAGTTTTGGAAGTATTACATTTTTGAAAGGTGACTAACGTTAGTTATTAATCAGATAACTGTTAAATAGACTTGTAATAAATATTTATAAAATCTATTTTGTAGATTTTTGGATGTCATATTGCACTATTCAAAAGCTGAAATTTTTGCCTATCCTCTTGTTCACCTTGCTTATTAGCTTGGAAGACACTCATGGATAGAGGAGCTAAAATTTTGACTTTGTTATTTCTGGAAAAGAGGCAGTATAGAGATCAGAAATTCTTCTATACTCAAATGTCTTTGTTGCTCAGTTTTGATTATTCTTTTATTACATGTTTGTTATAAGGAAATATGCTTTTATAAAGACCCCATTAATCTCACAGTACATTGATATACTTAAAATTGCTAGACTTTCATAGAAAACAGATTTTCTAGTTTATGGAGTAGATTTCCAGAGAAAATTAGAAATTGCAATTTGATGGCTCCTAAAAAGGGGAGACAAGTTACTGTTCCAAGTTCTAGAAGTCAGGACCAGAAAGCTATCAGCAGTGTTTTTGGCACTCTTAACATCAGTATATTAGGATCTACATCATTTTTAAAAAATGAGTGTAGCGTGTTCATTATGTGATTTGTTTATTTCAGTCTGTCCCTTTTAGGGTATTAGATTGTATCCACTGACTTGCCTTTATTACTTTTGTGCATTATAGTAGTCAAGAAAAGTTCTGCTGAAGTAGGTTTGTATAGTTGTGCAAGTTTATCTACAGAATTGATTCTCAACAGTAGAATAACATACCTGAACCAAAGGGAATATATGTTTAAGTGTTGATAGTATGCTCAAACCTTCCAAAAGGTTTTGCCCTTTTAAACTCATATTTAATTCTTAAATATTCACATATGTACATGGGAATGCAATCCCTTTTCTATTCTAGAGTACTTGTCTTAACCATCTTCAATTATGTAGACTTTGTATTACATTCTTGGTGTTTTTCTTATTGATAATTTTAGATAATCATGATTATTGTGTATGTGCATTTTTACATTCTTTTCTTCCCACTTATTTTATACATATTTTACATAACTACATATTTAGTATTTTAAATGACAACATTTTACTCAGAAATTTCTTGATTTACTGGTCCTCTTTCCTGTTTTTTTGACACATTTTTTGCATTTGGGTCTGTCCCTCTTTTTGCTGGACAGTATTTTCTAGGTTTTTCAAGAGTGGTTACTTACTAGAAACTTTTTGTTTTCCAAGAAATTCAATTTGTATTATTTTAAATGCTTAAGGTTAAGTTTGTTTTGTGTGAGACAGTTAATGGTTAGAAGTTCCTAATTTTGTGTTTTTTAAATATAGGAAATAAGTAATTTAAATATATAGCACTGAAATTGCAGATTTAAAAATATTGCTGAAATTATTATTTGAATGTAGCTTTTTGATGGTTAATTGATGTATCAAATTACAAATATTCAAGGACATAGTAAGAATGTGGGAGCATTAGGGAATCTTCTAGTCTTCATTTTTTTTATATTTTCCTTTTTCCATTGAAAACTTATGTACTAACTTAAAGTTTAGAAGTAATCTGATAAGATGGAACTGTGTTTTGTTGCTTTTTCAAAAAAGCAAACGTTACTAATTTCTTAATTTTTTTATATTTCTTGAAATCTAAACATCACTGAGTCTAAAAATTTTTAGTTAATTTATCCATCTTTCAGGAATCATGTAATCTTTTAATACACATATTACATGAAAATGCACATAGTCCATTTTCATCATAGTAAAACCTACTTAAGCAAAAAAGCTTAGCCCTGTGTGGTGTGTTGGTTCCACATATTGTTTTGCATCCTGTTCTTTTTACGTAATATTTTACGTCCATCTTACCTTGTCACTGTTTGCCTTTTTAAGATAGTGTGTCATTTAACTGCTATATGTGTTCTTTATGGTTAAGTATTTCCTTTGCCTTGATATTATAAACAGTATTGCAGTGAGCTTGTCTTTAGTTAACTCATTACTCACATATATCATCTCTTGAGATAAACTCCTAAAGATGAAATTGCTACACATATTACCAGTTGACTCTCGGATTGCACTAAATCATGTCTTTGATAATTCCTATCTATCATTATCTATAGGTCTTCTCCTCTGGGCCATTTTCTCTTGAGAAAATAATGACAACTTTGTTGGATAGGTAATAGGGCTTATCTTTTCAAATCAGTACTTTACCTCCTATCTGTGTGATTGGAATCTCAAATTTGGGTCCTTGGCTATTTTTAATTCCCCATCTTTAGGCTCTAAAGGATGGGGTTGTAACAGATTGGTGTAAAGATTTTTAGTTAATTCTTACTGTCAGCCATAAGACTAATTTTATTTTCAGGAACTTACTCAGAAGTCCTGAGCCTATCCAGTGCTCTTTAAGAGGAATTGCATTTTTTTTTGTTCACTGTCACTTCATTTTTCTCATCTTTCAAAAGTTTCTTAACTCCAACTCCCTATATTATGTTGGTCAGATTGGTCTTTTAAGAAGAAATCATTAGGGCCTCCCTGGTAGCCAAGGAGTTAAGTCTCAGCAATATCACCTCAAAGGCCACCAGGAGGCCTGAGTTCCATTCCAGGTGAGAGAGCTAAACCCACATGATGCAGCAGACCTTTCCTGTCTTGCCTGCAGCCCCTCTTAGCAATGTAGTTCAATAAATCTGCTTGTTCTGCTCCCCACTCTGCCT